CGGGGGGCCCCCGGGGGGGCCCCCGGGGGGCCCCCCGGGGAGGGGGGCCCCCATGGCCTGGCCAACCTGCCGGCGCCGCTTTAGGGGACTCAGCAGCTGCAGCGGCTCTGCAGCAACAGAGCCAACGGCTGCAGCAGCAGCAAAGGGTACTGGGGGGCCCCCCAGGGGGGGGGCCCCCAAGGGAGCTGCGGAGGGGGCCCCCGTGGGGGGCCCCTGGGCAAGGGTTTGAGCAGGCGGGGGCAGCAGCAGGCCAGAAGGCAGCAAAGCTGCTGCTGCTGCTGCTGCTGCTGCTGCTGCGCTGCGCTGCGCAGCAGCAGGCAAATGGCTCTCCAAAGACCCTCCAGGGGGGCCCCCGGGGGCCCCCGGGGCCCCCGAAATCCCTGCTGCTAAGCGGCTTGCAAATTGCTGCTGCTGCAGAGCCTGCAGCCGCAGAGCTTGGAGGGCTGTGAGGGAGAACACTGGGGACTGTTGCTGCTGCTGCTGCTGCTGCTGCTGCTGTTGTTGCTGCTGCTGCAGCTGTTGTTGCTGCTGCTGCAGCTGTTGCTGCTGCTGCTGCTGTTGTTGTTGCTGCTGCTGCAGCTGTTGTTGTTGCTGCTGCAGCTGTTGCTGCTGCTGCTGCTGCTGCTGTTGTTGCTGCTGCACCTCCCCCTGCGGGTGACCTTGCTGCGCAGCACTTTGCAGCAGCTGCTGCTGCGGAGTCTGCTGCTGCCCTTGCTGCTGCTGCTGCTGCTGCTGCTGCTGCTGCTGGGCAGGCGCCAACCCCGCAAGGGCCAAAGCCCTCCTTCGGACCTCAGCAAGCCGCAGCAAAGAAGCAGCAGCAAGTTGAAGGGGCCCCGGGTTGGGGGGCCCCCTGTGCTGCAGTCCCAGGCCCAGAGAAGAGGCCAGGGGCCCCTGCAGCAGCTGCTGCAGCTGCCCATAAAGGCGAACTTGCCACCCCAGCAGCCCCAACATGGGGGCCCCCCTGGGGGCCCCCCGGGCCTCGGGGGCCCCCGGGGGGCCCCCCAAACCCTGGGGAGAAGGGGTTGAGGCGGGGCTTCCATTTGGGGAGACCATCTGCATTCTCGGGGGGCCCCCCCTGCTGCTGCTGCTGCTGCTGCTGCTGCTGCTGCTGCTGCTGCGCCTGTGGGAGTTCAGCAGGGCCCCCAGGAGCCGGCACCGCGGTCAGTTCCCCAGGCATCTGCAGCCGCCGCTGCTGCTGCTGCTGCTGCTGCTGCTGCTGCTGCTGCTGCAGCCTGCAGCACGGCGTGCGGGGCCGCCGGGGCCCAGCTCAGACTGCCGCCGCTGAACTGTGAGAGGAAGCAGCAGCAAAAGCTCTCATTGCAGCAGCAAAGTTTGTGCAGCAATGCGCGAGTCCAGGGGCCCCCCAGCAGCAGCAGCAGCAGCCATGTGGAGGGCTCCCGGGGGGCCCCCAAATAGGGGCTAAGAGGGGGCCCCCGCAGCGGCTCGGCTGTCCTGGGGGCCCTCAGCAGGGCCGCAGCAGACAGCAGCCGCAGCAGACGCAAAGGCCAGGCAGAGGGGCCCCGGGGGCCCCCGCGGCTGAACTGCGCAGCAGCAGCAGCAGCAGCAGCAGCAGCAGCGGCAGCAGCGGGAGAGGAGCTGGCAGCAGAGGCCTCGAGTGGGGAGGGGGAGGCCTATGTTGGAGAGAGGCAGGAGAGAAAGAAAGGAAAGGAAGAGGGAAAGCCCGGCCGTGCTGCAGCAGCAAGAAGTGCAGCAGCAGCAGCAGCAGCAGCAGCAGCAGCAGAGCGGGCTGGCCCGAGCGCGAGTGGCTTGCGGCCTAAAGACTGCAGAGTCCGCCCCGGGGGGGCGCTGGGGCGCTGCGGCAAAGAGCGGGGAGTCCGGCGGCGGCTGCAGGCTGCAGATCCATTGTGGGGCGGGGGCATGCGCTGCGCGCCTTTCGGGGGCCCCCCAGCTTTCCGGGGCCCTTTAACTTCTCCCGAAATTGGCTGGAGGCTCCCCAGGAGGAATTTTAGCTCAGGAGGAGCTGCCCTTGGGTGCGGATCGCGCAGCAGCAGCAGCTGCTGCAGCGGGAGCCCACTGGTGCGGCCGCCGCGCGTCCAGCGGCAGCAGCAGCAGCAGACACGCAGATCTCGGCCGCCAAAGTGCTCCTTTTCCACTTTTTGTTCGAAATTATTCTTGAAATTCGAGCTTTCTCGCAGCTTTCTCGGCCCGAGCGGCTTTTTGCGCCGCGAACTCGCCGAAATTTGCAAGTTGAACCTCGGGCCGCGGCTCGCGCGGGCCAAGACGGCGCCAGCCGCCCCTTCGTCTTTAATAAACTAAAATATAAATAATGAGCCTTTTGAAGTTCCGTGTTGGCTGCGCGCCGCTGCTGCAGATACACCGCAGCTGCGGGCGCGCGGGCTGCGGCAGAGCGCAGCCACTTCCTGTCTTGTATTCCGAAGCTCTGCAGTCCCGCGGCTAAAATGCAGTTCTTTTTCTTTCTTTTCTTCCATTTTTTCTCTTTATTTCTCTCCGTTTGGGGCCTCCGCGGCTGTCCCAGCGGGCTGCGGGCGCGCGTCGAGGCGGCCAGGAGCCAGGGCTTTCCGCTGACTCCGGCTTTCTACCAAGAGCTGCTCCAGCTGGAGCAGCGGCTGCCCATTGAGCCGTACGCGGAAATGTTCTCAACTCCGGCGCCGCCGGCAGCAGCAACAGCAGCAGCAGCAGCAGCAGCAGCAGAATCTGCGGAAGCTGCGGAAGCTGAGGAGGCCCCCAGCACGAACACAGGCCCCCAGTTCACCAACAAAGCCTATTTGTACTCTCTTCTCGCCTTTTGCGTGGCCTTTGGGGGCGGCTATCTTTATTTGCCCGTAAGTTTCGCGCAGCAGCAGCAGCAGCAGCAGCAGCAGTTCATGTTTGTTCAGTTTGTTGCAAACAGCCCCGCGGTAAGCCAGCAGCAAACAGCCCCCGCTGCAGCACGAAGAAGCTGCAAACTCAGTGGGAGCGGAGCTTCGTTATAATGACTTCGAGCTTGTTGGTCTTTTACTTTTCGCTGGCTGCCTTCATCAACGCGGGCGCGGGGTAGGTGCAGCAGCAGCAGCAGCAGCAGCAGCAGCAGCAGCAGCAGCAGCGTTTTTGCTGCTTTCATTTCGCACTTTGCTGCTGCAGGCCGGCCGCTGGACTTTCGCTCTCGGGAGGCTTTTTGCTGGCAGCTTTTGGTGAGTGGAGTTAACCGCAGCAGCAAGCCACTCCGAGTTCAACTTTGCTGCAGTCGGGGCGCTGCTGCTGCAGCAATCTTTCGGTGCGTCCCCGCGCTGCTGCTGCTGCTGCTGCTGCTGCTGCTGCTGCTGCTGCTGCTGCTGCTGCAGCAGCTGTTCTTTCTCACGCGTGGGCTGTTCAGGCTGGTCAGTTCGTTTGCCGCGAAAGCGCAGCCAGACACAGCGACGGCGAGGCCGCAGGAGCGTCATTGTGTTCTTCGGCCACTTCCTGTCGCTGATCTTGGCTTGTGAGGCGTCGAATTTGAAATTTTTTTTCTTTTTTGAGATTTAAATTCCAAATTTCAGATAATTTGACGGTAATAAAAGCGAAATGGGACTTTTAGTTCGGCGATCAGCCCCGCGCAGGCGGTCGTCTTCGGCTCGCGCCACGGCCTCCTCGGCCTGATCCCCGGCTTCACTGGCCTCAGCGCGGCACTTCAAAAGTCAATTTGTGAATTTTAAATTCAAAAATAAATAATTTTCGAATTTTAAAATATCAAATAAACAATTTAAACCAATTTTGCATTTAATTGGCGAATTCCCCGGACCAGACTGGACCGCCGCGGCGCTGGGCGCCGCCTGCCTGTTCAGCGTGCAAGTTGCACGCCGCGAGGTTTGCGCTGTTGCAGCGGCGGAAACTCCCAATTAATTCTTTTTATTTATTTATTTTTCACTTTAAACTTATTTTAAATTAATTTTAAACTTTTCAGGACAAGGCGTTGCCTCCTTTAGTGGACAGGAACTTCGTTTCCTCTTGCGTCTGCGCCTGGCTGGGCGTTGTGCAAGTTCTGTACGGCTTCGCGCTCAAGGACTTCATCGTAGACACTCCTTTCGAGGTGCTTCTTCTTTTCCCTTTTTAAAAATATAAAATATATTTAAAAATATAAAATATATTTTCTCTCAAATTCGCGAGTCTTTGCAGCCTGTGGGCTTCTTCGACCTCCCAGGCGAGCTGCTGCTGCTGCTGCTGCTGCTGCTGCTGCTGCTGCTGAGTCTTTGCAGCCTGTGGGCTTCTTCGACCTCCCAAGCGAGCTGCTGCTGCTGCTGCTGCTGCTGCTGCTGCTGCTGCCGTCTGCTGCTGCTGCTGCTGCGGACGAGAAGGCGAAGCGCACAGCAAAGAATGTTTCCGCGAAATGCTCTTCAGTTAAATTCGACTACTTCGCGATAGAGAACTTCACAGTGCTGGTGAGCGAAGTTTGGGGCAGCAGCAGCAGCAGCAGCAGCAGCAGCAGCAACTTCAGATTCTGCTGCTGGTCTTGGGAATTTCCGGCTACCAAGTGCAGCAAAAGCGCGACCGGCTGCCTCTCCTTTTGGAAACTTCTTCGGCTCTTCGTGGAGAAGAGCCTTTGCTGGATTAGCTGCTGCTGCTGCTGCTGCTGCTGCTGCTGCTGCTGCTGCTGCTGCTGCTGCGGCTCAGCAGCTGCTGCAGCTGCTGGAGCAGCAGCTCAAGAGCTGCTGGAGCAGCAGCCCAGCAGCTGTTCCAGCAGTTTAGCGGCTGCGGCTGCAGCAGCTGCTGCTGTAGCGCTGCGTGCGCTGCAGCAGCAGCTGCTGCAGCAGCAGCAGCAGCAGCTGCTGCTGCTGCTGCTGCAGCACGGGTGCAGCACTAAGCACCCATGAAGCCAGCCACCAGCTGGTAGTAAACGCAGCCAATCATCGCCACGTTGAAGTTGTCGATGTCCCTCGTGCTGGCCTGCAAAGGAGAAGCAGCACAAGCAGCACACAACTCAGCTGCTGCTGCTGCTGCTGCTGCTGCTGCTGCTGCTGCTGCTGCTGCTGCTAAGCCGTATTGCTGCTGCAGCTGCAGCTGCTGCTAAGCCGTTTTGCTGCGGCTGCTGCTGCTGCTAAGCCGTTTTGCTGCCGCTGCTGCTGCTGGTAAGCCGTTTTGCTGCTGCTGCTGCTGCTGCTGCTGCTGCTGCTGCTGCTGCTGCTTGTCGCTCACCTCGAAAAGCCCGGCGGCGAAGACAGCAACGGCGAAGGCAGCAACATTTACTCTGGAGGTCTGCAAAGAAAGCAGCAGCAAAAAGAAAAAAGAAAAAAGAAAAAGATTTAAAAATTAAAAGATAAAAAAACAAAAAGACAAAAAGACGGAAATATAATTAAAAACAGCAAAGCAGCAAAATAAAAAAGATCAAAAAAATACATGTAAAATAATATGGATATATATATATATAGATATATATATGTATGATATACATATAAAATATATATATATATGCACTTATATATATATATATATAGTACATATATGTATATATATATTATATATATCTATATATATATATATATGTGCATATTATTATACAAAGATATATACAGATATATTTAAATAAATTTCCATAATACAAACACACACACATGTGTATATAAATATAAATATATAAATATATATATATAATATGTCTAGGCATATTTTACATAATTTCTTATAATATGCAAATATATACAAGTACAAATAAATGTTTATAAATATAAATAAATAAATAAATATAAAAAGCAAATCCCCAACAGCCATTATGTGCCCAAAAGTATTCTTATTATATAAATATATTATATATTTATATATATATATACATATATATATATATTTATATATATATATTATATGCATATAAATATAAACATATTATATATAACAATACATACATGAATGTAAGTATAGATATATATTATATACACATTATATACATGATATATAATACATATAATATATAAATATTATAAAACATATATTATATATAATATATATAATATATATATTATATATATTATATAATATACTATATTTTATATATTATATATATATATTTATATATTTATATATATATTTATACAAAAGTGTAAAAGCACCATTTGCAGCAAATGGAAAAGAAGTCCTCCAGAAACAAAACTGCAAAAGACAAAAGCTGCGAATCCGGCGAAGCTCTTTTCAGGGGCCAACAGCCCCCGAAGAGTTGCCAGGGGGCCCCTGCTGCTGCTGCTGCTGCTGCTGCTGCTGCTGCTGCTGCTGCTGCTGCTGCTGTTGCTTTCGGGGGCCCCCTCGGGGCTGTTGCTGGTGGTGCTGCTGCTGCTGCTTTCGGGGGCCTTCTCGGGGCCTCCGCTGCTGCTGCTGCTGCCGTTGCTTTCGGGAGCCCCCTCGGGGCCTCCGCTGCTGCTGCTGCTGCTGCTGCTGCTGCTGCTGCTGCTGCTGTTATCAGGGGCCCCGTGGGGGCCCTTGGGGCCCTTGCGGGCAGCAGCAGGGCTGCCTGGACTGGCTTGCGGGGCCGCGCACGTTTTGCTGCTGCTGCTGGGGGCCCTGCTGCTGCAGCAGCTGCCAACAGCAGCAGCAGCAGCATCGCCGCAGCCGGCGAAGACGAGGCCGAGGAGGGCCGGGGGGCCCCCGGGGGCCCCTGCTGCTGCAGCAGGCAGCAGCAAAGGAGCAGCAACGCCGAGCAGCAGCAGCAGCGGCGTGAGGACCAGACCAGTGGTCTCGCGGGGCCCCACAAATGGCCCATATGCTGCAGCAGCAGCACGGGAAAAGAAGGGGAAGACACGGGAAAGCCGCAGCACTTCTGCTGCTGCCAGCAGCCACAAAAGAACTCCAAGACACAAAACTAAAAAAGAAAAAGAACCCCACAAAGACACAACAGCAACATTTCCCACCAGCAGCAAATGGAACACTTTCCGCAGCCTGCACAGCCGCCCCGCTGCAGCAGCAGCCTCCCCGCTGCTGCTGCTGCTGCTGCTGCTGCTGCTGCAGCTGCTGCTGCTGCTGCTGCGGGCGAGGCCGAAGGCGAGGAGGAGGCCCGCTGCAGAGGTGAGGAGCAGCAGCAGCAGCAGCTGGGCGTGCTGCTGCTGCTGCAGAAAAGCCCACAGCCACAGCAGGGGCCCCCACTGCTGCCCCTCCTGGCCTGCTGCTGCAGGGGGGCCCCCCAGCAGCAAAAAGCTCCCTATGGTAAACAAAAAGCCCCCCACAACTAACTGCAAATAAGCAGCACGGGGGGGCCCCCTCCGCAGCCGCAGGGCCCCAGCAGCAAAAAAACAAAGCACCAATAAGGGTACTAAAAGGCCCCCCAGCATCTGCAGGGCCCCCAAGTCCACTTCCCCGCCCCACTCCCCCAGGGGGGCCCCCGGGGGGGCCCCCGGGGGGGCCCCCGGGGGGCCCCCCGCGGCCAGGGGGGCCCCCAGGGGGGCCCCCGGGGGGGCCCCCAGGGGGCCCTGGGAGGCGGGGGGGGCCCCCAGGGGGGCCCCCGGGGGGGCCCCCGGGGGGGCCCCCGGGGGGCCCCCCGCGTCGGGGGGGGCCCCCAGGGC